AAAATCTGGGAATAATGACTGTTACCAATCTATATATATATAAAGTTAGCTTGATGATTTTCAAAAATAAAAATATTTTGGTTACTCATTCTGACATCCACAGCTACGACACAAGAAATAAGAATTCATACATTTTACCAAATTTCAACATGAATATAAACCGAAATAATGTTTTCTATACAGGCACTAAAATATTCAGATGCCTTCCTTACTCAATCTCACACTGTGATAATATCAAAAAATTTAAGCATAAATTGAAATCTCTCCTCCTCCAACATGTTTTTTATAACCTGAATGAATTCTACCAAGTTTACACATAATGTAAATAATTCCAAATTCCTACAAATTTATCAAAATTGTACAGACTTCCCTTTCCTTACACTGTTGTTTTTGAGGAAATAAAATTATTACATTACATTACATTACATACTCGATAATGATAATAAATATTGCGGTTTCATCATTAGGAAGAGTGCCGATGAAATGCGGTCCTACATGGTTGCAATTACCTCCTTTCCCCAAGATCATTACAACAAATCAGTTTTTTGATGATTGACTGATTGAAATCAGAATTATATATCAAAGGAAGGAAGGAAAGCTCAAAATCATCTCCACACCATTTGAGCACGTTGTTAACTCGGTTTTTTGATGATCAGGGACACGTTTCGGTATTAGAGATCATTTTCAGCTCCATTTGAAGTACGATACAAAAAATATGGGTATTAAGGAATTGAAATTTTTTGTAAAAAAATTTTTGTAGACTCACTTGGAGTTGAAATAGTTTAATAAATTTATCAAGTTGAATTAGATATACCTGCCGATGCCCATAGTCACGAGCCCATGTCTTAGGATATAATAACGGGTTCTGAAAAATTGTTTCTATCCGTCATCAGGTTGGCCCCTTACGAGCAATCCCTAGAATTCTTCGAGAGACTTGTGCGAGCAAGGAATGACCAAACACTTTCTTAGGTCATCAGACACATCTCTGCAGCGGAGAAATGAACTCACGTACACCAGCAAGCAAACGCGAATTAGAGTAGTGACGCCGAGGCTACTTGGGTTCTCATTGATGGAGGGCCTCGTACCATGAGAGCGCGTACAATTATATATTCGATTCAATATCATACAGCAATTTTGGAAAGAATAACCGTTTTTGAAAATGGTCCCTGTTTCATACTGAAAGCACAAATTATTGAGGCAAATATCGAATTATTGATGAGGCAATCAGCCAACACGTATTTCAAATCCAACTGAAAAATTAGAAAAACAGAAAAGTCAATGACATGAGTCAAAGTCAAAGCATAGATGGAACATGAGATTATGGCATTATGAGCAAAGGCATATTGGTTAGGTTAGGTTTAGGTTAAACTTGAGTGGGCCCATGTCAGGCCCTTCATATGGCCTATTATAACATATAACTCAGATATTGTATACAAATAATTGACGAATGTTGAGAGGAAAGAAGAGATAAGTGGGGAAAATGAGCAAAACAGGAAAAAAATAATTAAGTTCTGGAATTGAAACCCATCTTCCAAAAACTCCTTCACAAACTATCCTCATACACCAAACCACTTCAGCTATGCCATCTTTCATCGAGTTTCCTTTCAGGCAGATCGCTCCATGTCGTGGTGGATAAAGTATCGTCTGATAACATTGTCATCAATTCCGGCTTTCCACAAGGAGCAACTTGCCCTATCCAAGCTTTGCAGACGATGAAACTCTCCATAATCTGCATTCTCTTCTATAATTCTAATTTCTCTTCAGAAAACTGATGGGAACTTACGACGAAGGCAAGTCAATGCTGTCAATGACGATCAATTCCGGCTTTCCATTAGGATCCACTTGCCCTATCCAAGCTTTGCAGACGATAAAACTTTCCATAATCTGCATTCTCATCTAGAATTCCCATTTCTTTCCAGGATACTCAGAACTTACGACGAAGGCAAGTCAACCCTGCCAATGACGATCTTGCTGAAGAACAGCCTGGGCATAGGGAAATGGGCGACCTTTCGTTTTTTCATAAATACTTCCACGGCAAATGTTCCTCAGAAATCGCTGCTATCATTCCATCACTAGAAATACCACTCAGACAAACTCGACAGGCCCAGTCAGCACATCCTCACATTGTGAACCTTGAAATAAGTCGAACAACACTCACACAAAACTCATTCGTCTATAGAACGGCAAAGCTTTGGAATTCTATGACAGTGCAAGTATTCCCAAGAACTCATAACCTCCGAATGTACAAAAAAATTCAAACACCTCCCTCCTCCCCCTATCCTTTTCAGGAACGCAAGATGCTCTTGGAACTTCCATTTTTCACTATAAATGAAATGAATGCAATGTTGCCAAACATAAGGACGCAATAAGATACTCCAGATAGAAATACTGGAATTTCGTATATTTTTCGTATATTCCGCTCTGGCGGAAGTCTTCTGAACTACAATGTATATTTTCTGTTCATTTACGCATAATATTGCGTCCGATGTGCTACAAGACTTTTTCGCATATCTCGAGTATTTGGACAGATAGACCAGTCAATCTCAGATCTATCGATAGGTGGTGGCATGGGCTTTCAAAACACATTTTTTTACATTATTTCAAGCAGTTCTATCCAGAGTTTAACGTTGATGACATTATCGCGTCCATATATGGACGCAATAAATAGAAGGACGCAGTAATAAATGTAAAAGGGCAATGATTGGACGCAATAATGATAGCAGGATGTATATATATATATATATATATATATATATATATATATATATATATATAGACTACCCTTCTGCTTATATATATATATATATAAATATTTATATATTTTTTTTTAATATCATCAAACTTTATTAGCATAGTACTCTTCATTACACTACAATATACATAAAGTACAAAATTGTTTGTATAATACAGACTACAAAAACTCCAGGGATGTAACTCAAATATCACCGCCGATAGTAATTTGTATGCTAAAGAACACTTAAGTTTCCACTATGGGCACCAAAGCGATCCCTACTCAAAAAAAAAAAACAACCAAACTCTACTGTTCCTCCTCTTTTCCATAAAACTCCGTATTGAACCTAGTCGTCAAAATATAAACGACAGCCCAGACAGCACTGGATATTCATAGAATATTCTCTAAATATGCTAAAAAGGAGGAGTATATTCCGAATATTCATCGATTATTCCTAGAATATATACATGCCTCTAACATCTAAAAGGAATATTCCAAAGTGAATAGTCGGACATGTTCAGGGAATATTCAGGTATGAATCTTCCAGGAATATTCCCAACTGAATATTCTGTGCGGTATATTCATGAAATATACCCAACTGAATATTCTGTGCGGTATATTCATGAAATATTCTCAACTGAATATTCTGTGGTGTATATTCATGAAATATTCCATGAATATTCCTATGTTCCTCAACACATGAATAACATTTATTATTTCAGAGATGTGAGTATCGAACATCAATCAGATGTAAGGGGATTTTGAAACAAAAAGTGTTTATGATCCGATTTCGAACAATGCTCTCACAAGAACTTGATATGTATAACATTATTCAATTCGGTTACTGGCCTAGTGGTCAAGGCGTTGCTCTGATAGTCTTGATAGCCTTGATAGCCAGATACGCCTACGCTGAGTGCACAGATAGCAACTTAGTGCACAAACAGTGAAAACCAACCTAGCCAATAGTCAATTAATCTTAGTATATTTTAATCTGTAGCTTTATAATAATTTTTTAATTATAATTTTAACCTGTGTTCGTACTAATTTATTAATAATAATATAAGTGAAAAATATAAAAACCCCCCAAAAAAAATTACTAAACATTTTAACTAATTTTAACACAAATATAAACGAATAACGAGATAGAAAAACAACTAGATGAAGCCCAGCAGGGTGGGGAATCTCTCCCGAAGGAAGGGCTGGATCGAGTAGGTCCGACCGAGGGAGAGACCCCCACCCAGCATGCTGGGACAAACACCATGTCAAAAGAGGCTGTCGAAGAACAGGCCAAGGAAACCCCTATACTGTTGGAAAGAGTAGCAAGAATTAGGAAAAACCCGAGTATAACTTACGAACAGATACCACAGTATATGAAGGAGAACCTTTTCAAGCGGGTACCTGAACACCTTAAAGAGCGAGCTTTTCTGCTGTTCTATGACCAAATGGAAATCAGGGTCGACGACTTCGATTCCTGGAAGGACTTTGCCTCAGGCAGAGCCCCAAGATACTCCAGACGAAGAAAACCTAACCCTGAGATCAGAAACATAGTTCAGCAGATTAACAAACTGATGAGCATGGAAGCCAAACCTGAGGACTGCCCCAGCAACCTCTGGGAACTGGCGCACCACACACACCCCAGAGAATCACTCGAGGAAAGAGCAATGAGAATACGTGAAGTCATGCAAAACCATAACACCAACAAAGACGAGATGGAAAATGCATTTATCGACATAGATAAAGATAAATGCAACGACGATTGGGATGCCATTTCTCTTTCCTCAACCACAAGAACAAGTACATCCCCGAAACAACCAACTGCAGAAGAATTCGACAAGGAGGCAAGAACAGCGAGGTTAAGGGCAGTGGCAAAGGCCATAGAGGTCACCCCAGCCGATCCCTCACCCCCTCCATCACCCTGTTCAGAAACTGAAAGGGAAATTGTATCGGCGACGGAACGATCGCTTCGCAGAGTGACAGTGGCAGCTCCTGCAGCTACAGGCACAATAAAAAGGTTATGGTCTCTGGAAAATTTTACTCGGAGAAAATCGAAAAGATAAAACCTTCCAAAGGACACATGAAAAAGCCAACCCCCACAAATTTTATATCGGCATACGAGTCCAGAGAGCCAGAAGAGATCCCAGCACTGCCAGAGAGGTACAGAAACTACCAGATGGACAATCAGGACACACACGACCAAAGAGTAGCCAGTAGACTACAGGCGGCAGAAGAAAATTTTCTGAATCGGGTAGCCAAAACGTCCCCAGAAAAGATGGACACATCTGACCCTCCACCAAGGAGGCTAGAAAAAAGACCCAGGGACCCACACAGCGCACCAGCGGACAATACCCGCAGCAAAAAAATTAAGAACATTGAAACAGACGGCTATGTGAAACCAAGGAAGAAGAAAACCACAAAGTGGACAAGGGCATTCCAAAAACGCCCCAATACGACGACCCCCACGAACAACAGATTCGAGGTATTGCGTAGCACTGAAGAGGAAAACGCAAGCCAGTCGCTACCCCAAGACATCCCACTGCCAACAGATCAGTCCACAGATGAAGAACCCTCCACAAGTAGAACTCTGAAACCAACACAAAAAGTCAACAAAAACACCAACATAACCCAAGCAAATAAAAACAAGAATCAAGGAACATCACAGAACAAACAAACAACACCCAAAAAAGGAGAGAAGCCACCGCCAATAGTTTTCGATGGAGTCCTGAAGGATAGAAGGGAAATCATACCACTCATCAAATCACTCACCACGAAACCCTTCTACTTCAAGTATGGAGGGGATTCCGCCCTTCTATACACGGAGACAGTGCAGGACTTTGAGAACGTGAAACAGAAGTTGAAAGAAGACGAAGTATCCTTCTACTCTTACTCCCTCAAGAAGGACAAAACCCACGCATTCGTGCTGAGGGGCTTGGACTTTGAGCCTGAGCCCTCTGAGATCATGCAAGAAATGAAAGATGATTACAACATCATGGTCAAGGAGGTCTACAGGCTCAACACAAGGTATAGGCCTCTCTATCTGGTCGTGGTTGACCCGATTGTTACTCTCCGGTTTCTTAGTGATAAAGTAAAGGCATTATTGTCTGTTAGAATCACTTGGGAGCTGAGGAGGAACAATCGGGCAGTTACTCAGTGCAAGCGCTGTCAGCTACTGTGGGGTCATGCCACCAGCAATTGTAATAGAGAATTCAAATGCTTAAAATGCGCAGGTGGCCACTTCACGGCTGACTGCAAACTGCCCAATCAAGAACCGGCAAAATGCGCGAACTGTGGGGAAGCCCATCCGGCCAACTACAGTTCGTGCATAAGCTATATAAGAAGATTAGATATAATCAACAAAAACAAGAGCAAACGGCCAGATAGACAGGCTTATGCCCCAGCCCCGCCCCCCAGCACGAACGTGTGGGACAGAAGAAGACAAGAACGAGAGGCCAGGCAGCCCGAGCAAAGAAATGTCGAAGAACATCGAGATGCCCAAGAGAGGAGACCTGATATGAACTCCAGACGTCCCCCGAGTGCGCAGAGAGGACCAGGTGCAGGCCAAGGAATCGAGGTAATAACGGGCATAGCCTCAGAGGTCGACCTCCTAGAGCAGAAGGTCAATCTCTCAGAGGTCTTTAGGTGCGTGAGGGATATGAACGCCGCTATCGGTGGTGAAACAAATCCCTGGGAGATTGTGCAAATAGTTACCAGGTTCTCCAAAACTATCGGCAACTATAATATTAATGGTAGAAATCGGCCTTAAGGTATGTATTATTAACATCAACGGCATTAATAGCAAAATGCCGTCGCTCGTTAATTTTATATATCGCCACAGGTTGGACATTATACTTTTGTCCGAGACCAAGCTCCGTCATGACCAGAACCTCAAAGTAAGAGGCTTTACCACGATCAGGGTTGATCGGCCTAATGCAGAAAGATGGGGGGGGGTAGCCATTCTAATTAAGAATTATATTCCCCACACCGTGGTCCCGCCAAGACAAAGTTCAATCGAACATGCCGGAGTGAGACTACGGAGTGGGGAGGTTATATTTACAGCGTACAACAGGCCCAGAAATAGATTCACACAACAAGACCTAGAGGCGCTGGTTAGTGCTGGCAATAAGGTGATCATCGGAGGAGATTTCAATGCGAGACATAAGGACTGGGGGAACCAGGCCCAGAACAACCAAAACGGGAGCAGGATGAGGGCATATCTGCAAGAAGCCAATGTCAACCTGGACTACCCAAACACTCCCACGCACTATCCCGTCAATGGAATGACACCGACAGTCCTGGACATAGTGCTGTCCAAGAATGTGGTGGACATCTCTGACCTAGAAGTGATATACGAACTGAGCTCTGACCATCTACCAGTTCTGTTTGAATTTGGAGTGAAACCACCCGAAATTATTAAAAAAATATTCAACTATAAAAGCACGAACTGGCGGATGTTCAGAGCTCAGTTGGATCAAAAAACAGTAATAAAAAGTAATATCAAAAAAGAAGAAATCAATAATGAAATGGAAAAAATAATAAGAAACATCACATGGGCTAGAGATGCCACCACGGCATTGGTCAGCATTAACCCCAATAAGGTCGAACTCCCGGAGGCAGTCCTTGAGCTCATCGCTGAAAAGAAAATACTGAGGCGTCGCTGGCAACGGCTAAAGACGCCGGAAGCCAGAGGCGCCTTCAAGAGAGTATGCAACGAAATTGAATTTGAAATACGAGAGCTCAGGAACGCCTCCTGGAGAGCCAAATTGGAGAGTCTAGACCCTCGTGACAATACTCTATGGAAAATGTCAAAAAGATTAAAAAAGCAATATACACCCATACCCACCCTGGAGTATGGCCACGAGGAAGCGGTGTCAGATCCGGAGAAGGCGATAGTGCTTGGGAAGCATTTCCAAAAAATTAGTAAAATCAATAAAAACCCAACTTGTGCAGTCCAGGAAGACATGGCGGCAACAGCAGCTCGCATTAGAGCACTTCCCAACATCCCGCTCCCGAGACAAGCCCTGAGTAAAACTATAACATCTCCAAAAGAAATAAGCGAAATCATAAGATACCTAAACATCAATAAAGCACCAGGGCTTGACGGTCTGGACATGGTTCTCCTAAAAAATATGTCTCGCAAAGCAATAGTGCAACTCCACTACGTGATTAATGCGATCATCAAATGCCAGCACTACCCAGAATGCCTCAAAACTGGGCTTGTTGTACCAATACCTAAACCTGGAAAAGACCCCAAATCCACAAATGGCTACCGCCCCATATCGCTGCTTAGCGCGGTGGCCAAGATCGTGGATAGAGTCCTCTTACGGATTATCTCACATCACACAGATGAGCTCGCACTCATACCCCATGAACAGTTCGGGTTCCGCAAAGGACACAGTACTGTATCTCAAGTGGCCCGAATTGTTCATGAGATAAAAGAGGCCTATAACAGTGATAAAAACACGGTGATGGTCATGATGGACATTGAAAAGGCCTTTGACACCGTCTGGCACGAAGGTCTAATGTCCAAGTTGTACAAGGCTAGAATGCCGATATTCATCATTAAGCTTATTGATGCATATATCACCGACAGGAAAATCCGGGTTAAGGTCAACGAAAGTATATCGGGAGATTTTCCACTCGAGGCAGGTGTTCCGCAGGGGTCATGCCTCTCACCTTTGTTGTATACCCTATACACGCATGATTTCCCTGTATTCGAGCGGACGAGTACGGCATTGTATGCCGACGACACGGCTATATATGCCCACTCGGACGACTCGAATATCGCCAGGGCACAGATCCAGATTCATCTGGACAGGGGAATCATACCGTACTTTGACGAGTCGAAGATCCGCATCAACGGTGCGAAAACGGAAGTTATCAATTTCCACCGAAAAGTTAATAACTCTACGTTGAGCAGACCTTTGACCGTCAAAGGGGTTGAGGTGAGAGACATCACCCACGTGAAATACCTGGGAGTCAAGTTGGACACCCGTATGTCATTCTGGAAAAACACCAACTACCTGATCCAAAAGACACAAAATGCCATCAAGAAAATGTACCCCTTGATATACAGGACCTCCCCTCTCTCGTTGGAGAACAAGGTCCTGGTATACAAGCAAATCATCAGGCCTGTAATGACATATGCGTGTCCGGTGTTCTGCAGCATCCCACCTACCCATATGAATAGGTTGCAGGTGCTGCAGAACAAAGTACTCCGTATTATCACCAACGGTGATAGATACTCACGAGTGGCAGATCTCCACGAGAGATGTGGTAATTTGCCTAGAGTCAGTGACTATATCCGGAAAATTTCCAATAAATTCTACAAATACCACATCGCTGGAAGTGACCTTACCCGGAATATGACCACAACGAGAAGGCATCACAACATCCGCAAAAAACATGGGCTGATATATGCATCAACCGATGTTTTTGAGGAGCCAGATAATCTATAGTCGGGACCCCTCCCCACAGCCCAACAACATCTACAGGGCTCTGAGGAGGGCCCGGACTGCACAACCCCCTCCCCACAAAAAAAAAAAAAACGCAAATAAAATAGTGTCAATGCCACTCAAGGAGTGACAAACCGACACTGAACTCGGTCAGACATGCGGACGCTCCTGGGCCTGATGACTGGCCTCACAACCAGAGTCGGGTGCAGGGTGTGGGTAGGTCTGGCCGAGACAAATCAGAAGGAGGTTTTTGTTTTTCCAATTTTGATTTTCCTCTATCACAAAGAAGAACCTATTCACCACTGAGAGCGATTGATCAACTCCCCCACCCCCCTGGGTGACCTCGATGAAATTACCTATATAAAGGGCTCGGCCCTAGGAGATAGGCCTCTGTGACTAACACCTCGCATATACACTCACATTCCTTGGCCAACATCAGCCACCTCTGCACCACGCGGAGGACACAGCACACAGAAGGAGTTCTGTTTTATGTTCTTTTATATCTATATGTGTTTGTAATTTGCGAAGTGATGTAAAATTTATGATGACAAATAAATGATTTAAAGTGTGATAGTCTTGAGGTCACGAGTTCGATCCCTACTTGGGTCCCTTTTTTTAATTTTAGAATATGTTTATTGGAATATTCCAGGAACATTCAACATAGAATATTCTTTTGGGTATATTCTATGATTATCTGAGGAATTCCCATTCGCATATTTAGAGAATATTCCACAGATATTCCGGAATATTCCAGATTATTTCTAGAATATTCCAATATTCCAAAAGGAATATGATAGGGAGATTCATGGAATATCTGGTGCTGTCTGGGAGCTTCATAAGTGGACATCATGATCGCCGTATTAGGAATCTGCCGGACCAACTGCGTCGTCAACCCCCTGTATATCCCTCTAACGCCCTCCTCTTTGAAAACCAACCCCAAGGATTGCCAGAAACCCGTGTACTTGTTTCCCTCTTCCCTCAAGCGCGTTCTGGCCACTTCGTGGGGATAAGCGATGCAAGAAGCAACTGTCTTGGAAATGGCGCCCGCCATCATGAACTCCAAGAAGTCCTTTGAGCTCTTTTCGTCGCTAACGTGCGATCGGTGCGCCATCAGCTCCGCTTTGATCGCCTCTGGCCACTTCGTGGGGATAAGCGATGCGAGAGACAATTTTGTTATTGTGACAGTGTCGAATAATTCAATACAAACAATGTACGACGTTGATTATGGAATTTACACATTTTATAAAAAATGTCTGCGGTGATCTTATTTCAATCTGAAAGATGTGTTCTAGAAATTTACCATGAATATGGCGCATACGATAGCCATTTCGAGAGGGTAGGTCGAGCAAAAGAGAGACTGTTTTTTATTGTTCAAGTGTCAAGGTGAAAAACAGTAAAAACCATAATGATAGACATGACATTGATCATGTCATTTACACATTTCGATATTTTTTGCGGTGACCTCATATATTTCAATCTGAAAAATGTGTTTGAGAAATCTGTCATAAATGCGGTGCTTGCGATCATCAATTCCTGTGAAAATTTTGAAATTCAACAAGATATTTTGATTTAGACAAAAACCGTGTCAGAACATTGAGGGGGATTATCCAAATAACTGGAGCATGTGTTGAACTTTTATGAACAATGATGTTTCTAGTAAAAATTGTTGAATGCATCAATAGTAGGGTAATTGAACGTTCCAATAAATCTGAAAAGGTTGGTGGTGGATGGAAAACATTCAAAGTATCAATAAATCTTTATTTTTCTATAATATATCAAATTTTCAGTTCCGTTAACATCAGCTCGAGTAATAACAGAAAACAAGCGACACCCTGCGTAGCAATAATTCAATAATTATCTCATATATATATATAAATATTTATATTGTTTGTATAATACAGACTTACAAAAACTCCAGGGATGTAACTCAAATATCACCGCCGATAGTAATTTGTATGCTAAAGAACACTTAAGTTTCCACTATGGGCTCCGAAGCGATCCCTACTCAAAAAAAAACAACCAAACTCTACTGTTCCTCCTCTTTTCCATAAAACTCCGTATTGAACCTAGTCGTCAAAATATAAACGACAGCCTCATATGTGGACATCATGATCGCCGTATTAGGAATCTGCCGGACCAACTGCGTCGTCAACCCCCTGTATATCCCTCGAACGCCCTCCTCTTTGAAAACCAACCCCAACGATTGCCAAAACCCCGTGTACTTGTTTCCCTCCTCCCTCAAGCGCGTTCTGGCCACTTCGTGGGGATAAGCGATGCAAGAAGCAACTGTCTTGGAAATGGCGCCCGCCATCATGAACTCCAAGAAGTCCTTTGAGCTCTTTTCGTCGCTAACGTGCGATCGGTGCGCCATCAGCTCCGCTTTGATCGCCTCGTATATTACGAAGTGGACTATCGTCTCGGTTATGCCCATGTAAGAGGCGGTTATGCCTTTGTAGAAGCCCAGGAAGCCCTGAAACGAGAAAAAAAAAACTATGAGCGTTAAGAGTAAGACATGCTCACATGATAGCTTATGTTTCAATAGGCAGCCGTGCCTAGAGTTCCTTAATATACATTTTTTTTATCTATTGGATCGCACGAAAGGAAATTCCTAAAATTCCTATAATGTTTGTTGAAACATCGGGCGTACCTAGGGAAAATAGGGAGAGAAGGCGATTATTGGTATTTTTCTGAACTTTTGGAGGTTATAAGTTCTTGGGAATACTTCTTGGGCAAATAATAACAAAAAGCTTAGCCGTTCTATAGACGAACGAGTTTTGGTAGAATGTTCTTCGACATTTTTCAAGGGAAGGGATGTGCTGACTGGGCCTGTCGAGTTCGTCTAACTGGTATTGCTAGTGATGGAATTTTAGCAGGGATTTCTGAGGAACATTTCCCGTGGAAGTATCTAATGGATAGTAAAGGGTCGCCGACTTTTCTTTGGTCTTCTAATGGGGTCAAAGAGTTGGTGAGTGTGGCATCACCCTCCAGGCGAATGGCTCTTCTCTGGATGGAATCTAAGAGCATCAGCGTATGTTTGGGTGCTGAACCCCATACATGGGAACAGTATTCTAAAACTGGCCGTATCTGCGCTTTGTAGATCATGGGAAGCTGAGGAGAAAAGTGTATTTTCGGACAGAATATAAATCCGAGTTTTTGTGAAGCAGCTTTTGCGATGGATCGGGCATGATCATATATTGCTGATGGTAATACCGAGCATATTTATAGTGGTCTTGGTGGGAGTTATGGTTGGCCTTTCAATTTTTCTGAATTTAGTGGATAGTTCCATCGCTGTTTATGAGCGGTGTATATCACTAAAGATGATAACACTTGGTCATGGTATGAATTTTTGGTATATCTCTCACTCCCTGCAAAATTTCAGAATACTAACTCATAATTACGTAAGACACATGGGTTCTTCCATTAAAAGTTAGAAACACTGAATATTTGAAATCAAAAGTGCTCTATAGATAAGGACAATACAATACTGGGGGTTCCATTTAAAAAATACTAGTTCATGTGAAATTTTCAGGTTTACGCTTTTTTGCATTTTCTAATACTAAATTTCAAATGCACATAAAAAATATTCAATATTTGTTCATTTGAACGTTTCTGTAACACCAATATTAAGTGAGATACCAATTGAGTGAAATATTGACAATCACCCTGTACAGTGTACATACAAGTGTCTGTTATGGTCTTCACCATTCGCGATTTTATTCCTTCATTTGTGTTTGGCCTTTAGTACCCTGAGTACTCGCCCACAAATATACAAGTGTCAGTCATTATCCCCACCGTTCGCGATTTTCATCAATTCATTTGTGTTTAGCGTTTTCGGATTGTTGGCGTAAGTATACTGTTCAATGAATGATGAAAGAATCGCGATGTCCATTGTTATTTAGTCTAAGCGTTCACCCGCAAATGTATGTACAGGGTGGCCAACTAAGAATCCAGAGTTCGATACCTCTGTTGTCTTGAGAGATACAAAAAAAAAGTTTCGCATTCAAATTGAAGTGATAACCAAGATTCACATTTCAAAATTTCTTTGAAATACACAGGGTGTTCCGTAAGGTCACAGCACATCAAAGCTATGTTTTTTTCATTGGAACACCCTATATTTTATTTCATTTTTGAATTCTCCCTGAAGATCTGATTTCAACGACCCATCATACTTAGGGTCTAGCAGTGAAAGTTACTGATGAAAAAAACATAGCTTTGATGTGCTGTGACCTTACGGAACACCCTGTGTATTTCGAAGAAATTTCGAAATGTGAAGCTCGATTATTACTTCAATTTTGATACATGACTTTTTCCTGCATCTCTCAAGACAACAGAGAAATCGAACTCTGGAGTCTTAGTTGGCCACCCTGTACAAGTGCCTGTTATTATTCCCACCATTCGCGATTTCCTTCAGTTATCCGTGATTGGCGTTTAGTACTAGAACTCACCGACTGCGCGTATATCCTGCGCACCACTTGCATCGCCGTATCACCGCTTTGCCCGTTCACGTCCAGCTGCAGCCTCGTCTTCACGAACCAGATGGGATTGGTCAATGTGCTGGCAGCGAAGCCGGCGCACGAAGCTGAGCACACATGCACCACGGGCGAATCAGGCGGCAGCAGCCCGTTCCAGAACAGCTTCGCCTGCGAGTAGGTGCAGAAGTAGACTGCCCGCGATGGGGCCACGCCCACCAGGTTGGGACCCAGACCTGACAATTGAGATTGTTAGCCGCAATTTCAATATACGTGTTGGTTACAACAATTTTCCGTCGACTATAAGGAGTGTTATCGAAATAAATACTGCAGTATTCTACTATCGTCAAAGTTATTCCTTTAATTAAATGGCAAAATGTGTCGCAGTGATTCACTTTTATGTTATATGAAGATACCCTCTGGGCTTATAATAATTATTATTTCTTTTTCTATCACATGGATAGGAATAATTAACCTTGTAATAAATATCATGTCACATATACCAGAGCATCCTAGGCTCGATTATTCTTATCGCGTAAGTAACAAAAGCTCATTGTTTGGGCCTACAAGAGCTGGGCAGTCAAAACAGACTGTACTTAGCCTGGGTACCAGGCCACACAGGCTACAAGGGCAACGAAGAGGCTGACTCACTAGCCCGAGAAGGAGCAAGATGTGCTCCTATCGGTCCAGAACCTTTCTGTGGTATAGCGAAAGCGCTGCAAAGAACAAATAACAGCACTTGGATGAAGAAGCAGTCTCGAGAATGGTGGAACAATGCGCCGGGAATGAGACAGGCCAAAGAGTTCATTAAAGAACCATTGCCAAAATTCACGGAGTACCTACTAAGCCAGAATAGGAGAACAACAAGGATCTTGGTTGGGCTCCTGACAGGGCACTGTAGACTCAACAAACACATGAACAACATCGGATTGGCGGACACAACCATATGCAGGTTTTGCCAAGAAGATGAGGAAACCTCAGCACACATACTGTGCTACTGCGAAGGCCTGACTAGGCTAAGGTTTTCGACGATAGGGGAGGAAAAACCACAGCCCTCTCAATATATGGAGGACCTGAGGTCTGGCCTATGGAGTCTAGTAATAAGGATGGGTTTAGACAAGGAACTCTAACATAACATGAGGGCACACACAATAGATCTGTAAAGGTCGCAGTGGAGAGGCTCCTAGTAGCACATGAGCCCCATATCAATCTAATCTAATCTTGGGCCTTATCCGAATCTTTTCATGATGAGATATTTTCAATTCTCTTTTGAACAGCAAGTACAAAACATCCAAGTACCAGAAGCTCTCGAAAGAAATTCACCATATGTCTTGTCTTAATCATTTGCAATCGAAATGAAACGTTTCTTAAAACACTGCATTTCATCCGGAAGACATAAAATTTATATTAAAATCAACAATGTGTATCGCAGTATAGTTTTTTGCGCTGTTTAGACTTTTTGTGAAATTTCCTTCCAAGCTTCTATATGCGGTCGGTCAGTAGAAGATAAAGCTAACAGCCTTGTGGTTTTGAGAGTGATCATTGATGATACAATCTATGAAATATTCGTTTGCCTGGTGTTAGGTAAGTGATCTTGCCAGGAATTTGACTTGGTGAATATTTATCATCCTGAAAAATTTGAGTAATGATGATCAATTCTTTTAGTTTGTTCGGTACTTGACCTTGTTTATTATATGAGAATTATACCCAGATCAAGAATTCTATCTGATTTACTTTATATCTGCGAGAACCATAAAATCACCCTATTACAATACATATAGCATGTCTCATTTCGATCGCCCCCTTTCCCTGTACAGTGTCATTCATAAAGTTGGCATCATGTGGGAAACACTTTTAATAATAATTTATTTTGAAATTCGACTTGGGCGTTGACTTTTACTTAAAAATAGATGAAAAATTGCCTACTGGGTTGGAGTCACGGGACTTTCGCTACATGTCCTAAGATACATTTTTTCAAATCAATCCATGAAAATTGACTTATTTGTTCAAATTTCAAAGAAGTTTACGGAGAGAATTTGTTTCTATTAAAGTTGTGCACATGTGTCTCAAATTTGATCCATTGCAACTTTCAGTTCTGGATATTTTTTGATATCTCCTAATCGACAAAACTGTTCTATAGTAGTTTGATGATCTTTTGATGACTTTGGAATAATTTTCAATAAACTTTGCTCCCGAATGATAGATGATACAGTTGTATTCAATAAAAAAGCGTACATGTATTATTAAAAAGAGAGGTTAACGTCAACCTAGATCTAGTTGTGTAAAAATGGCTCAGCCAATGCTTTATATTTTCGACAACCTATGACAACTGTCAACATTTGGTAAACAATCATTCCTGATAGCCCGTTTTACGCAAATAATATGACGTTAATTTCTCTCTCTGATACTTGTACGCTTTTTTATTGAATACAACTGTACATCAACTTTGCATCAAACATAACAGAAATTTGAAGCAGGGATTGTTATTTTCTGAAGAGGAAAATTCTTCAAACGTAGTGACATTTTGGGAAAAATCATCTGATTTGTCCTAACTACACGTATATTGAAATAGTCGTGGTTTTGTATATGAATACCTAATTTATATGCACAAAATCTCAAAAATTTATTGTGTACCCTTTTAAAGGACCTCCATTAAGCTAGCAGAACCACTTCGAATTTTTCAATTTTTTCTTCGGCCATAATTTTAGGCTAATTTAAGGCTAAATTATTACCCTATTGCCGAATTTATTGCTCTTCGATTTATGTAAAAAAACGTGGGTTCTGCTAGCTTAACGTTAAGCTAGCAGAACCACTTCGTAAATAAAAGTTCAATCACAAAACTAATTATGCCATAATTTAAGGCTAATTTTAGGCTCCAATCTTAGCCTATTGCCAATTTTTTCGCACATTGTTTTTTTAAAAAAATCATGGGTTTTGCTAGCTTAACCGTTAAGCTAGCAGAACCAAATCTCAAATAGAGGGAATGTAAAAATATTGAGTACACCATAATTTAAGGCTAATTTTAGGCTCTTCGTTGAACCTATTATCGATTTTTTTGAAAATCATTTTTTGCAAAAAATTTCCCAAATCCAACATGAACATGACAAACCAGTGGCAAACCAAAAAAAACTTCAATCACAAACCTGATTATGCCATAATTTCAGAATAATTTAAGGCTCTGATCCTAGCCTATTGCCAATTTTTTCGCACACTGATTTAAAAAAAAAAATCATGGGTTTCGCTAGCTTAACCGTTAAGCTAACATGTGAACATGACAAACCAATAGCAAACCAAACGAAGTTCAATCACAAAACTAATTATGCCATAATTTAGGGCTAATTTAAGGCTCTAATCCTAGCCTATTGCCAATTTTTTCGAACATTGTTTTTTTTTAAACAATCATGGGTTTTGCTAGCTTAACCGTTAAGCTAGCAGAACCAAATCTCAAATAGAAAGAATATAAGAATATTGAGTGCACCATAATTTAAGGCTAATTTTAGGCTCTTCGTTGAACCTATTATCGATTTTTTGAAAAATCATTTTCTGCAAAAAATTTACCAAATCCAACATGAACATGACAAACCAATAGCAAACCAAAAAAACTTCAATCACAAACCTAATTATGCCATAATTTCAGGCTAATTTAAAGCTCTGATCCTAGCCTATTGCGAATTTTTTCGCACACTGTTTTTTTTTTTAAATCATGGGTTTTGCTAGCTTAACCGTTAAGCTAGCAGAACCAAATCTCAAATAGAAGGAATATAAGAATATTGAGTGCACCATAATTTAAGGCTAATTTTAGGCTCTTCATTGAACCTATTATAGATTTTTTGAAAAATCATTTTTAGCAAAAAATGTACCAAATCCAACATGAACATGACAAACCAGTAGCAAACCAAAAAAAAAACTTCAATCACAAATCTGATTATGCCATAATTTCAGACTAATTTAAGGCTCTGATCCTAGCCTATTGCCAATTTTTTCGCACACTGTTTTTTTAAAAAAATCATGGGTTTTGCTAGCTTAACCGTTAAGCTAGCAGAACCAAATCTCAAATAGAACGAATATAAGAATATTGAGTGCACTATGATTTAAGGCTAATTTTAGGCTCTTCGTTGAACCTATTATCGATTTTTTTGAAAATCATTTTCTGCAAAAAATTTCCCAAATCCAACATGAACATGACAAACCAATAGCAAACCAAAAAAAAAATTCAATCACAAAACTAATTATGCCATAATTTCAGGCTAATTTAAGGCTCTGATCCTAGCCTATTGCGAATATTTTCGCACACTGTTTTTTTAAAAAAATCATGGGTTTTGCTAGCTTAACCGTTAAGCTAGCAGAACCAAATCTCAAATAGAAGGAATATAAGAATATTGAGTGCACCATAATTTAAGGCTAATTTTAGGCTCTTCGTTGAACCTATTATCGATTTTTTTGAAAATCATTTTCTGCAAAAAATTTCCCAAATCCAACATGAACATGACAAACCAATAGCAAACCAAAAAAAAATTCAATCACAAAACTAATTATGCCATAATTTCAGGCTAATTTAAGGCTCTGATCCTAGCCTATTGCGGATATTTTCGCACACTGTTTTTTTAAAAAAAATCATGGGTTTTGCTAGCTTAACCGTTAAGCTAGCAGAACCAAATCTCAAATAGAAGGAATATGAGAATATTGAGTGCACCATAATTTAAGGCTAATTTTAGGCTCTTCGTTGAACCTATTATCGATTTTTTCGTTACTTATTTCCTGCAAAAAAATTCTCAATTGCAACATGAACATGACAAATATTTTCTGAATATTTCCGAATCGCCATGTGATGAAATATTTCTGCATCTTACATAATAATATGCATCACATTGCATAATACATCGTAGGGGCTATGGAAAAAAATGCAAAAAACTGGAAGTAGGTTTCCATCATCGCCTTCCTACTTCTATGAAATTGTTTAGTGAAAAGAATGTAGTTGATTTTTTTATGATGATATAATCTCGGATATAATGATGGCTCAGTCAATTCTGTGAGAAATACGCTCATGATTCAAGATATTAGGTATGCAAGATATAATGTTGAAAATATTCGTAGACTTTTCCATTATTGTTACCCTGTTTAAAAAAGCTTGTTTTTTGCAAATGACTGCGGATTAGCTTTAAGAATGAGTGTTTTGTTTAAGAACGTCTTGATACTCTTATAGTCTTGATGCAATTTCTTTAGATGAAAAAACCAA